TGCCTCAGCCTCAGCCTCAGCCTGCTTCAGCCTCAGCCTCAGTCTGCCTCAGCCTCGGCCTCAGCCTCAGCCTGCCTCAGCCTCAGCCTGCATCAGCCTCAGCCTCAGCCTCAGCCTGCCTCAGCATCAGCCTGCCTCAGCCTCAGCCTCAGCCTGCCTCAGCCTCAGCCTCAGCCTGCTTCAGCCTCAGCCTCAGTCTGCCTTCAGCCTCGGCCTCAGCCTCAGCCTGCCTCAGCCTCAGCCTGCATCAGCCTCAGCCTCAGCCTCAGCCTGCCTCAGCATCAGCCTGCCTCAGCCTCAGCCTCAGCCTGCCTCAGCCTCAGCCTCAGCCTGCTTCAGCCTCAGCCTCAGTCTGCCTTCAGCCTCGGCCTCAGCCTCAGCCTGCCTCAGCCTCAGCCTGCATCAGCCTCAGCCTCAGCCTCAGCCTGCCTCAGCATCAGCCTGCCTCAGCCTCAGCCTCAGCCTGCCTCAGCCTCAGCCTCAGCCTGCTTCAGCCTCAGCCTCAGTCTGCCTTCAGCCTCGGCCTCAGCCTCAGCCTGCCTCAGCCTCAGCCTGCATCAGCCTCAGCCTCAGCCTCAGCCTGCCTCAGCATCAGCCTGCCTCAGCCTCAGCCTCAGCCTGCCTCAGCCTCAGCCTCAGCCTGCTTCAGCCTCAGCCTCAGTCTGCCTTCAGCCTCGGCCTCAGCCTCAGCCTGCCTCAGCCTCAGCCTGCATCAGCCTCAGCCTCAGCCTCAGCCTGCCTCAGCATCAGCCTGCCTCAGCCTCAGCCTCAGCCTCAGCCTCAGCCTCAGCCTCAGCCTCAGCCTCAGCCTCAGCTGCCTTCAGCCTCGGCCTCAGCCTCAGCCTGCCTCAGCCTCAGCCTGCATCAGCCTCAGCCTCAGCCTCAGCCTGCCTCAGCATCAGCCTGCCTCAGCCTCAGCCTGCCTCAGCCTCAGCCTCAGCCTGCTTCAGCCTCAGCCTCAGTCTGCCTTCAGCCTCGGCTTCAGCCTCAGCCTGCCTCAGCCTCAGCCTGCATCAGCCTCAGCCTCAGCCTCAGCCTGCCTCAGCCTGCCTCAGCCTCAGCCTCAGCCTGCCTCAGCCTCAGCTGCTTCAGCCTCAGCCTCAGTCTGCCTTCAGCCTCGGCCTCAGCCTCAGCCTGCCTCAGCCTCAGCCTGCATCAGCCTCAGCCTCAGCCTCAGCCTGCCTCAGCATCAGCCTGCCTCAGCCTCAGCCTCAGCCTGCCTCAGCCTCAGCCTGCCTGCTTCAGCCTCAGCCTCAGTCTGCCTTCAGCCTCGGCCTCAGCCTCAGCCTGCCTCAGCCTCAGCCTGCCTCAGCCTCAGCATCAGCCTGCCTCAACATTCAAAATGTGGCCCGGGAATGGAGTTCTGGGAACTCGAAGAACACGAAGTGGCCTACAGTTGGCTCGGGGCATTCAAAATCATTCCCAGGAATGGAGTTCTGGGAACTCGAGGACCACGAAAGGGCCTACAGTTGGCTCTGGGCATTCAAAATGTGGCCCGGGAATGGAGTTCTGGGAACTCGACGAGCACGAAGTGGCCTACAGTTGGCTCCGGGCATTCAAAATCATGCCCAGGAATGGAGTTCTGGGAACTCGAAGAGCACGCAAGGGCCTACAGTTGGCTCCGGGCATTCAGAATGTGGCCGGGAATGGAGTTCTGGGACCTCGAAGACCACGAAGTGTGTAACTGTTGGCTTAAAACGACTTCCGCGGATCCCTGTCCGGGTGCCGCCCAGACCCCCCTGGGGAGTCATGATGTTCTCTCTCTCTCTCTCTCTCTCTTTTGACCTTATTAGAAACCTATCAGTCTTCGCTGTTAGGTAAACATTATCCCGGCAAAGAAACCTAACAGCGATGTGTAGGAGCATATCTGGAAGCATTCCCCTTAAGATTCAGATGATAATCCAGTTGTAGAGTTCTGCTGTTCTCGCAGTCGCAGTCGCATTCGCGATGACAGTCGCAGTGGCAACGGCAGTCGCAGTCACAGCCTGAGCCTCAGCCTGCCTCAGTCATCAGCCTCAGCCTTCAGCCTCAGCCTCAGCCTGCTTCAGCCTCAGCCTCAGTCTGCCTTCAGCCTCGGCCTCAGCCTCAGCCTCCTCAGCCTGCCTCAGCCTCAGCCTCAGCCTCAGCCTGCCTCAGCCTCAGCCTCAGCCTCAGCCTCAGCCTCAGCCTCAGCCTCAGCCTGCTTCAGCCTCAGCCTCAGTCTGCCTTCAGCCTCGGCCTCAGCCTCAGCCTGCCTCAGCCTCAGCCTGCATCAGCCTCAGCCTCAGCCTCAGCCTGCCTCAGCATCAGCCTGCCTCAGCCTCAGCCTCAGCCTGCCTCAGCCTCAGCCTCAGCCTGCTTCAGCCTCAGCCTCAGTCTGCCTTCAGCCTCGGCCTCAGCCTCAGCCTGCCTCAGCTCAGCCTCAGCCCTCAGCCTCAGCCTGCCTCAGCCAGCCTGCCTCAGCCTCGGCCTCAGTCTGCCTCAGCCTCAGCCTCAGCCTGCTTCAGCCTCAGCCTCAGTCAGCCTCAGCCTCAGTCTCCCTCAGCCTGCCTCAGCATCAGCTTCCCTCAGCCTCAGCCTCAGCCTGCCTCAGCTGCATCAGCCTGCTTCAGCCTCAGCCCCAGTCTGCCTTCAGCCTCGGCCTCGGCCTCAGGCCTCAGCCCTCAGCCTCAGCCTGCATCAGCCTCAGCCTGCTTCAGCCTCAGCCTCAGCCTGCCTCTCAGCAGCCTGCCTCAGCCTGAGCCTGCCTCAGCCTCAGCCTCAGCCTGCCTCAGCCTCAGCCTCAGCCTGCTTCAGCCTCAGCCTCAGTCTGCCTTCAGCCTCGGCCTCAGCCTCAGCCTGCCTCAGCCTCAGCCTGCATCAGCCTCAGCCTCAGCCTCAGCCTCAGCCTGCCTCAGCCTCAGCCTGCCTCAGCCTCAGCCTCAGCCTGCTTCAGCCTCAGCCTCAGTCTGCCTTCAGCTCGCCTCAGCCTCGGCCTCAGCCTCAGCCTCAGCCTCAGCTCTCATGCCTGCAGCCTCGCCTGCCTCAGCCTCAGCCTCAGTCAGCCTCAGCATCAGCCTGCCTCAGCCCATCAGCCTCAGCCTCAGCCTCAGCCTCAGCCTCAGCCTGCCTCAGCCTCAGCCTGCTTCAGCCTGCCTCAGCCTTCAGCCTCGGCCTCAGCCTCAGCCTGCCTCAGCCTCAGCCTGCATCAGCCTCCTCAGCCTCAGCTTGCCTCAGCCTCAGCCTGCCTCAGCCTCAGCCTCAGCCTCAGCCTCAGCCTCAGCCCTCAGCCTCAGCCTAGCCTCAGCCTGCCTCATCTCAGCTGCCTCAGCCTCAGCCAGCCTGCTCAGCCTCAGCCTCAGCCTGCCTCAGCCTCAGGCCTCAGCCTGCCTCAGCCTCGGCCTCAGCCGCAGCCTGCCTCAGCCTCACCCCTCAGCCTCAGCCTCAGCCTGCCTCAGCATCAGCCTCAGCCTCAGCCTCAGCCTGCCTTCAGCCTCAGCCTCAGCCTCAGCCAGGCCTCAGCATCAGCCTGCTTCAGCCTCAGCCTCAGCCTGCCTCAGCCTCAGCCTGCCTTCAGCCTCGGCCTCAGCCTCAGCCTCAGCATCAGCCCTCAGCCTCAGTCTGCCTCAGTCAGCCTCAGCCTCTGCAGCCTCAGCCTCAGCCTCAGCAGCCTCAGCCTCAGCCTAAGCCTCAGCCTCAGCCTCAGCCTCAGCCTCAGCCTGCCTCAGCCTCAGCCTCAGCCTGCTTCAGCCTCAGCCTCAGTCTGCCTTCAGCCTCGGCCTCAGCCTCAGCCTGCCTCAGCCTCAGCCTGCATCAGCCTCAGCCTCAGCCTCAGCCTGCCTCAGCATCAGCCTGCCTCAGCCTCAGCCTCAGCCTGCCTCAGCCTCAGCCTCAGCCTGCTTCAGCCTCAGCCTCAGTCTGCCTTCAGCCTCGGCCTCAGCCTCAGCCTCAGCCTCAGCCTGCATCAGCCTCAGCCTCAGCCTCAGCCTGCCTCAGCATCAGCCTGCATCAGCCTCAGCCTCAGCCTGCCTCAGCCTCAGCCTCAGCCTGCTTCAGCCTCAGCCCCAGTCTGCCTTCAGCCTCGGCCGCAGCCTCAACCTGCCTCAGCCTCAGCCTGCATCAGCCTCAGCCTCAGCATCAGCCTGCCTCAGCATCAGTCTGCCTTCAGCCTCGGCCTCAGCCTCAGCCTGCCTCAGCCTCAGCCTGCATCAGCCTCGGCCCCAGCCTCAGCCTGCCTCAGCATCAGCCTGCCTCAGCCTCAGCCTCAGCCTGCCTCAGCCTCAGCCTCAGCCTGCTTCAGCAGCAGCCGCAGTCTGCCTTCAGCCTCGGCCTCAGCCTGCCTCAGCCTGCATCAGCCTCAGCCTCAGCCTGCCTCAGCATCAGCCTGCCTCCGCCTCAGCCTGCCTCAGCCTCAGCCTCAGTCTGCCTTCAGCCTCAGCCTCAGCCTGCTTCAGCCTCAGCCTCAGTCTGCCTTCAGCCTCGGCCCCAGCCTCAGCCTGCCTCAGCCTCAGCCTGCCTCAGCCTCAGCCTCAGCCTGCCTCAGCAGTCAAAATCATGCCCAGGAATGGAATTCTGGGAACTCGAAGACCACGAAGTGGCCTACTGTTGGCTCCGAGCATTTAAAATCATGCCCAGGATTAGAGTTCTGGGAACTCGAAGACCACGAAGTGGCCTACAGTTGGCTCCGAGCATTCAAAATCATGCCCAGGAGCGGAGTTCTGGGAACTCGAAGACCACGAAGTGGCCTACAGTTGGCCCCCGGCATTCAAAATCATGCACGGGAATGGAGTTCTGGGAACTCGACGAGCACGACGTGGCCTACAGTTGGCTCCGGGCATTCAAAATCATGCCCAGGAATGGAGTTCTGGGAATTCGAAGACCACGAAGTGGCCTACAGTTGGCTCCGGGCATTCAAAAACATGCCCAGGAATGGAGTTCTGGGACCTCGAAGACCTCGAAATGTGTAACTGTTTGCTTAAAACGATTTCCGCGGATTCTCCCCGGCACCCGTCCGGCATCTGCCCAGACCCCCCTGGGGAGTCATGATGCTTTGAGATCATTAGAAACCTATCAGTCTTCGCTGTTAGGTAACTATTATTCTCTTGCACAGCTTGTCTAGAGCTCCGACCACTTTATTTCGGCACGGCACCCCCTCCACCACCCACACACTCCACCAGCCAGCGCGCCCCTTCGCCCCGACCCCTTTACCTCGGCACGGCACACCCCTCCGCCCCGACCCATTTATTTCAGCACGGCACACCCCCTCCGCATCCCCCCCACCTACCAGCCGGCGCGCCCCCTCCGCCCCGACCTTTTTTTTCGGCACGGCACACCCCTCCTCGGCACGGCACACCCCCTCCGCATCCCCCCAGCCACCAGCCAGCGTGCCCCTCCGCCCCTACCCATTTTATTTTGGCACGGCACACCCCTCCGCCCCGACCACTTTATGTCGGCACGGCACACCGCCTCCCCACCCCCCACCCCGCCCACCAGCCAGCGCGCCCCCCCCCCGCTCTTCCTTTTTCGGCACGGCACACCCCCTCCGCACCCCCCACACATACCAGCCAGCGCGCCCCCTCACCCAGCGACCCGTTTATTTTGGCACAGCCCCCACTCCCTCCCCGCGCGCCCCGCGCGCCCCCTCCGCATCCCCGCCTCCCCGCGCGCCCCCTCCGCCCCGACCCCTTTACCTCGGCACGGCCCCCCCCCGCCCCCTCCCGCACTCCCCCCACCCGCCAGCGCCCCCCCCTCCGGATCCACCCCGCCCACCAGCCGGCGCGCCCCCTCCGCCCCGACCTTTTATTTCGGCTCGGCTCCCCCCCCATCCCGCGCGCCCCTCCGCATCCCCCCACCACCAGCCAGCGCGCCCCCTCCGCCCACCCTTTTATTTCGGCACGGCACCCCCCGCCCTATCCCGCGCGCCCCTCCGCTTCCGCCCCACCCACTTGCCAGCGCGCCCCCTCCGCCCCGACCCTTTTTATTTCGGCGCGGCCCCCCCCACCCCGCGCGCCGCTTCCGCGCCCCCCCACCCGCCAGCCAGCGCGCCACCTCCGCCCCGACCCTTTTATTTCGGCAGCGCCCCCCCCCCCCCCCCCCACCTACCACCCACGCCGCCATCCCCCCCGACCCTTTTATTTCGGCACGTCCCCCCCCCCCTCCCACGCGCCCCGCCCAGATCCTCCCCACACGCCAGCCAGCGCGCTCCCTCCGCCGAGACTTTTTTAATTATCTTGCACAGCTGTGCTCCGGAGCTCGGACATCTTTATTTTCGTCGTGGTTCGTGGTTCCTGGTTCGTGGTGGTTCGTCGTCCCCCTCGGCCCCTCCCCTGAGCCTCAGCTCCCCTGGGCCACCCACCCTTCGGAGGCTTGCTCCGTCCAGGTCTTCCAAGGACAGCCCCCCTGGGCCGCGGACATCCTTATTTTCGTCGTGACTCGTGGTTCGCGGTGGTTCGCCCCCCTCGGCCCCTCCCCTGAGCCTGAGCCCCAGCTCCCCTGGGCCACCCACCTTTCGGAGGCTTGCTCCGTGCAGGCTTCCCAGGACAGCCCCCCGTGGCCGCGGACATCCTTATTTTCGTCGTGATTCGGGGTTCGTCGTGGTTCGTCCCCCTCGGCCCCTCCCCTGAGCCTGAGCCCCAGCTCGCCTGGGCCACCTCCCCTTGGCACCCCCCCCTTCGTCCAGGCTTCCCAGGAAAGACCCACTGGGCCGCGGAACCCTTTATTTTCGTCGTGGCTCGCGGTGGTTCGTCCCCCTCGGCCCCTCCCCTGAGCCTGAGCCCCAGCTCCCCTGGGCCACCCGCCCTTCGGAGGCTTGCTCCGTCCAGGCTTCCCAGGACAGCCCCCCTGGGCAGCGGACATCCTTATTTTCGTCGTGGTTCGTGGTTCGCGGTGGTTCGCCCCCCTCGGCCCCTCCCCTGAGCCTGAGTCCCAGCTCCCCTGGGCCACCCGCCCTTTGGAGGTTTGCTCCGTCCAGGCTTCCCAGGACAGTCCCCCTGGGCCGCGGAACCCTTTATTTTCGTCGTGGCTCGTGGTGGTTCGTCCCCCTCGGCCCACCCCCCCTGAGCCTGAGCCCGACACCCCAGAGGCTCTTTCAGACCCCTAACCTTTCTGAAAACCGACTTCGGGGTAAACATTTACACCGACTGGACCCATCCTGAAAGAAGGAGGCGTGGGTCTCCAGTCCTTCGCAGCTCATTTGTGCAAGAGCCAGGGCACGCGTGCCACTTGTTTAAGACATCTGGCCCAGCTTCCCAGAAGCTTCTTGAGACAAGCCTGAGCTTGCTGTTAACGCTGGATGGGGCGAGCGTGCTCGAGAAACTGGGCCAGCTTTGCGGCAAGGTGGCCAAGAAACGCTGGCCGAGCTCTTCGGGAGGGGGTTTCTGAATCATATGCTCAGCTGTGGCAGTCTGGCAGTTCAGCCTCAAAGCCTGCCCAACTACTGCACAATGGCAAAAATCGTGCCTGCATTGCCGACGGTGGTGACCCAACCGACCAGACCATCGGACTTAGCTCGGCACTTCATCCGTGTGAGACCCGACTTCTCCTCTTTCTTCGGGAACTCTCTCACCTCGAGGAGCTCCCCCTCCTTGAGCTTGCGGGTCGGATCCTTCGCCTTCTTGGAAGCATCCTTGTCCACTACGGCGTCCAGCTCGAAGGCAGGTGTCATGATGGTCTCCTTGACGACCTTGAACAGGCTGCCACCGTCCTTCAGGTACACCGTGCCCTGGTTGCCCTTGAGGGTCACCCATCCCTCAACGCCATCCTTCATTGCCTTCGCACGGATCCGCATCACCCCTGCCGAGCCGTCCTCGATGGGGCCCTCAAGCACCTCCACGACCTCGCCCACCTCCATGCGGCGGAGCGTCCGGGTTTCCTTGTCCTCGATGCTCATTCCCGAAGACAAAGCCGTCTCTGCAGAGACCTTCATTAGAGTTCGGACGAGAGCGAGAAGCCTGTCCTCGCTGAGGGTGCTCTCCTCGTCCTCGTCAAAGTGCTTGAAGACCCTCGCGAGCTCCGCCTCCGACGGCGGGTCACTCTTGGGTGCAGGCTTGCCGTCCTCGACCTTGGGCTCCTCCTTCTTGCAGGTGGCGAAGAACTTGAGGAAGTCCGCCTCGCTCACGCGCCCGTCCTTGTCAGCATCGAACTGCTCGAACATGGCGTCCTTTGAAAGCTTGCCCTCCTTCTGGTGGTACCGGATCATGCTGAGCACCTGCTTCTCCAGCGTGCTCAGCTCCGCGCGCTCCTTTCTCCTCGCGCTCTCTTCAAAGCTGGCGCACTTGGCGGTGGCAGTCGCGAGCCGGGGCTCCCAGCTCTTCGTCCTCTTCTCTAGCTTGGAGACCTCCGCGAGCATCCACGCCTTGAGCTCCTCCTCCACGCCCTCCCTGAGCGCCTCCAGCTCCGCCTTCGCCCCGCCGAGGCTGTCCCTCGCCTCTTCGATCGAGGCGCTGGCCTCGCCGACCAGCTGGAGCATCTCCGTCGACGCGAGCTCCTTCGCCTTGACCGGCAGGGGCTTCGCTGCCGCCTCCGCCTTCTTGACGAGCTCCTCGCACTTCTCGATCGCATGCAGCGCCTCCTGGACCTTCTCCTGCAGCCCAGCCTTGACGTTCGCAAGCTCCGCTTCTTTCTTCACCCTCACCTCGCGGAGCTCGTCGTCCTTTGTCTTCACGAAGGCGATGGCGACGGCTACCTTCAGCCGTTGGAGCGACTCCTTCTTGATCCCCTTGGGGTCCTGGGCAAGCGCCGTGAAGATATCATTGAGCGGCTCTGCTTTGATAGCGAACTTGAAGACGCCCTGGGCATAGCTCTTCACCTCGGCCTTGCTCAAGAAACCGTCCTTGTCCTTGTCATATTTATCAAACACCTTCTTCATCTCGTCCAGCTTTCGGGTCGCCTCAGACTTCTTGACCGCCTTCACCTTCGCTGCCGCCGCGAACCTATCCGTGGAGTCCGTATCCTTAGCGCTCTCGCGCACCCTCGTCATTAGCTTACTCCACTCGGCCTTGATGTCGGTCTGACCCTCCCTCTTCGCAATGTTCGTGTCTTTCGAGTGCTCCTTCGTGAAGTCCGTGCAGAGCTTCAGCTTCGCCTTGGCCTCTGCGCTCGCCCCCTCGACCGCATCTGCCGCGGCCGTCACGCTCTCCAGGCCGGCCCCGTCCTCAGACAGCGGCTCGGCCGCCTCCTGGACCTTCCTCGAGGCCGCCTCCGCGTCCGTCACCAGCTCGCCCAGCCTCGCCAGCAGCCCCTCGGCCTTCTCCTGCAGCTCCTTGCGCTTCGCCTCGGCATCAGCTGCGGCCTTCTTGGCCGCCTCGAGGCGCGCAACTGTCTGCTCGACGGCCTTATCGGCATCCTCTTTGATCTTATCTTTGATGGAACCGCAGGCTTCCAACTCTTTGGCCATGATCTCGCTCAGTTCCGTCTTGAGCTGCTGAAGGGTGTCGTCAGTGGCGCCGCGCACCTTCTGGATGACCCTACGGATATTGAGGGCCGCCGTCTGCTCGGCCTTCTTCTTGATCGCCGCCTCCTCGAGCTTCTTCTTCTCCTCCTCCGCCTTCCTCTTGAGCTCCTGCTGCTGCTGCTGTAACTGCTGCAGCTTCAACGCGTTCTGCTGGGCCTGCTGGGCCTGCTGGGCCTGCCAATCGCTCGGCTTGCCCCCGCCCTTGCCCTTGTCCTTGTCCTTGCCGTTCTTGAAGCCTTCCTTGGCACCCTTCCCGAAGTCTTTGCCGCTGCCCTTCCCGAAGTCCTGGCCGCCACCCTTCCCGAAATCCTTCCCGCCCTTGCCGAAGTCCTGGCCGCCGCCCTTCCCGAAATCCTTCCCGCCCTTGCCGAAGTCCTTGCCGCCGCCCTTCCCGAAATCCTTCCCGCCCTTGCCGAAGTCCTTGCCGCCGCCCTTCCCGAAATCCTTCCCGCCCTTGCCGCCCTGCTGCCAGGCCTGCTGCTGCTGCTGCTGCTGCTGCTGCTGGGGCCACTGCGCCTGCGGCGGCGGCTGTGCCACCAGCAGGCCCCCGCCGGCCTTGCCTCCCCAGGCCTGCTGGCCGGCGGGGGGCGGAGCCGACGACCTCGAGCTGAGGGCCATGGTCACGTCGACGGGGCCGTCGTACGGCACCTTCCACCCGGATGTCGGCGGCGTCGGGGTGTTCATCGGGTGGTGCGACCAAACCTGATCGCCTCCTACTTTCGGGCCGAACCACCAGCCGCTGAAGGCCGCTCCGTCGCGCTCGTCCCAGAAGTAGAGCATCACGTCTAAGCCATTCACCTGGGCGTCCTTCTTGTAGGTCGGCTTCCCGTGGTTCTGGGAGGCGAGCGTATAGGCTCCGCGCACGATGCTGCCGACGGTGCCATGCGTACAGCCGCTGACCGCGATCTGGCGATCGGGCCCGACCATCTGCACGTGGCCGCCGACAGGCGGATGCATCTGCATCGCAATCCGCCGCCCGCCCTGGCGCAGCCCCCAGCTCGGCCCGGCCCGGACAGCTGCGCCCAGCACCCTGCAGCGCTGAGGCCCAAACAGCTTCTCGAGCTAAAACCACGGAGCCAAGGAAGGGGAGGAGGAGGACCAGCGTAAACCCAAGACCCATCAACGATTCTGCAATAAACCCTCCCTCCAAGCTCCCCCTTCACATGCCCCTACAAGGATTTATCCCCCAAACAGCTTGCTGAACGGGGTGCTGTTGTGATAGAAGCTAACTCTGGCCGAGGGAAGCCGGAGCAGAGACATCCTCACAAAAATTTGATGGTCCGGGCCGTTTCGCTTGAGTCATCCTCACAACTCTCTTTTCTGAGTTGGCCGGGATTGGCCGTTTCGCCTGAGACATCCTCGGAAAGTTGCGCTCCAGGACGCCGCGCGAGAGGTGGTCCGGGCCGTTTCGCTTGAGACATCCTCGAAACTCTGAGCCCCGAGGTGCCGTGCGAGAGGTGGTCCGGGCCGTTTCGCTTGATACATCCTCGAAACTCTGAGCCCCGAAGTGCCGTGCGAGAGGTGGTCCAGGCCGTTTCGCCTGAGACATACTCGAAACTCTGAGCTCTGAGCTGCCTTGCGCGAGGTGGTCCAGCCTGTTTCGCCTGAGACATCCTCGAAACTCTGACCTCGGAGATGCCGCGCGAGAGGTGGTCCGGCCCGTTTCGCCTGAGACATCCTCGACCTTCTGAGCTCTGAGATGCCCTGCGCGAGGTGGTCCGGCCCGTCTCGCCTGAGACATCCTCGCAACTCTGAGCTCTGAGATGCCGTGCGCAAGGTGGTCCAGCCTGTTTCGCACAAGACATTCTCGCAACTCTGAGCTCCCAGATGCGGCGCAAGACGTGGTCCAGCCTGGGGGCCCAGAAGATCAGATGTTGGGACCCTGGGAGCCCGCCTGAGACATCCTCGCACTTCTGAGCTCTGAGATGCCCTGCGCGAGGTGGTCCGGCCCGTCTCGCCTGAGGCATCCTCGCAACTCTGAGCTCTGAGATGCCGTGCGCAAGGTGGTCGGGCCTGTTTCGCACAAGACATTCACGCAACTCTGAGCTCCCAGATGCCGCGCAAGAGGTGGTCCAGCCTGGGGGCCCAGAAGACCACTTGTTACATATCCTCCCTGGGACCCTGGGAGCCCCAGGAGGCCCCAGAGAGCTCCAGGAGGCCGCAGGACGCCCAGGACAGGCCCCAGGGGTCCCCAGGAGATTCCCAGGAGGCTCCCAGGAGGCCCCAGGAGGCCCCCTACCAGAACGTGTCAAGTTAATACACATCCAGTGTCGATTCGTTGATTTTTCCTGCTCTTGTGCCCCCCCCCTCCATTTTGAGGGGCCCAAACGGCCACAGGTTAGATATCCCCCCTGGGAGTGCCAAGAAGCTTCAGGAAACCCCAGGTGGAGTTCAGGAGGCCACAGGAGGCCCAGGAGGAAGCCCCAGGAGGTCCCCAGGAGGCCCCAGGAGGCACCAGGAGGCCCCCGCAACTCGGAGCTCTGAGACGCCGCGCTCGAGGTGGTCCAGCCCGTTTCGCCTGAGACTTCCTCGCAGCACGTTTCGCCCGAGACATCGTCGCAACTCTGGGGTCCGAAATGCCGCGGGCGAGGTGGTCCAGCCCGTTACGCTGGAGACATCCTCGCAACTCTGGGCTCCGAGATGCCCTGCGCGAGGTGGTCCGGCCCATCTCGCCTGAGACATCCTCGCAACTCTGAGCTCTGAGATGCCGTGCGCAAGGTGGTCCGGCCCGTTTCGCACAAGACATTCTCGCAACTCTGAGCTCTCAGATGCTGCGCAAGAGGTGGTCCAGCCTGGGGGCCCAGAAGACCACATGTTACATATCCCCCCTGGGACCCTGGGAGCCCCAGGAGGCCCCAGAGAGCTTCAGGCTGCCGCAGGACGCCCAGGACAGGCCCCAGGGGTCCGCAGGAGATTCCCAGGAGGCCCCCAGGAGGCCCCCTATCAGAACGTGTCAAGTTAATACCCATCCGGTGTCGATTCGTTGATTTTTCCTGCTCTTGTGGCCCAGCCTGGGGGCCCAGAAGACCATATCTTACATATCCCCCCTGGGACCCTGGGAGCCCCAGAAGGCCCCAGAGAGCTTCGGGAGGCCGCAAGACGCCCAGGACAGGCCCCAGGGGTCCCCAGGACATCCCCAGAAGGCCCCCAGGAGGCCCCAGGAGGCCCCCTATCATGACGTGTCAAGTTAATACACATCCGGTGCCGATTCGTCGATTTTTCGTGCTCTTGTGGCCCCCCATCCATTTTGGGGGGGCCCGACGGCCACATGTTAGATATCCCCCCCTGGGAGCCCCAAGAGGCTTCAGGAAGCCCCAGGTGGGGTCCAGGAGGCCACAGGAGGCCCAGGAGGAAGCCCCAGGAGGTCCCCAGGAGGTCCCAGGAGGCCCCAGGAGGCCCACGCAACTCGGAGCTCTAAGACGCCGCGCTCGAGGTGGTCCAGCCCGTTTCGCCTGAGACTTCCTCGCAGCACGGCTCGCCCGAGACATCGTCACAACTCTGAGGTCCGAAATGCCGCGCGCGAGGTGGTCCAGCCCGTTACGCTAGGGACATCCTCGCAACTCTGGGCTCCGAGATGCCCTGCGCGAGGTGGTCCGGCCCATCTCGCCTGAGACATCCTCGCAACTCTGAGTTCTGAGATGCCGTGCGCAAGGTGGTCCGGCCCGTTTCGCACAAGACATTCTCGCAACTCTGAGCTCTCAGATGCTGCGCCTGGAGGCCCAGAAGACCACATGTTACATATCCCCCCTGGGACCCTGGGAGCCCCAGGAGGCCCCAGAGAGCTTCAGGAGGCCGCAGGACGCCCAGGACAGGCCCCAGGGGCCCCCAGGAGATTCCCAGGAGGCTCCCAGGAGGCCCCAGGAGGCCCCCTATCAGAACGTGTCAAGTTAATACCCATCCGGTGTCGATTCGTTGATTTTTCCTGCTTTTGTGCCCACCCACCCCCCATTTGGGGGGGCCCCGACGGCCACATGTTAGATATCCCCCCCTGGGAGCCCCAAGAGGCTTCAGGAAGCCCCAGATGGGGTCCAGGAGGCCACAGGAGGCCCAGGAGGAAGCCCCAGGAGGTCCCCAGGAGGTCCCAGGAGGCCCCAGGAGGCCCCCGCGACTCGGAGCTCTGAGACGCCGCGCTCGAGGTGGTCCAGCCCGTTTCGCCTGAGACTTCCTCGCAGCACGTTTCGCCCGAAACATCGTCGCAACTCTGGGGTCCGAAATGCCGCGCGCGAGGTGGTCCAGCCCGATACGCTGGAGACATCCTCGCAAATCTGGGCTCCGAGATGCCGTTCGGGATGAAGAAGAGGTGGAGGAGGAGGAGGAGGAGGAGGAGGAGGAGGAGGAGGAGGAGGAGGAGGAGGATCCCCCCCGCGCTCTGTTTCTCAGTTTCCTAGTGTCTGATGCCAGAGCCGTCAGGAGTCTGACTGCACACGAGCGTGGGTAAACAGATGCACGGCGGCTCAAATCTCACCCGATATGAAGGAATGAAAAAGACATGGCTTGGGTTAGGCCACGGGGAGCCGGAAAACTAATTACGAGCGCGCATAGATCATTCACGTACAACTTCCATGATCCCCCCCGCGCTCTGTTTCTAAGTTTCCTAGTGTCTGATGCCAGAGCCGTCAGGAGTCTGACTGCACACGAGCGTGGGTAAGCAGATGCACGGCGGCTCAAATCTCACCCATATCACCCATAACATGATGTGTCACCTATTCTGCTGTGTTGGGAGGCGTAGCACACGCTTGGCACGGGCACTGCGAGAGAGCGGCGGCGGCGGCAGCATTGCGCGGCCTCACAGAGTCTAGTTTTTCAGCGTGTTCAACAGCTCCTCCAACCAGCAGTGCAGCGCCAAGGGAAGCCGAGCGTAGTCTTTCATCATCATCATGCATGACTTCTTGCAGCGCTGCACCTTTTTTGGTAGACATCCCACCACCACGACGTTGCACAAAGTAACGGTTGCGATGCTTTTGATACATGTCCAGGAAGCACCCGCATGGCGGACCTGGTGAATCTCCATGTCATGGCCGAACGGTCGGCCTTGCATACAAAATCCCACGCTTTCACGATGAGTAAACTGCCACAAGCTGTCATCTGTCACGACGGCTAGAATCTGAAGAAAATCTGCCATACAGGTCAAAACCCTGAGTTTTCCACAAGATGGAACTGCTTTGGTTCCCAACCTTCGAGCCCTGGTGGGGGTCTGACCTGTGTGCGTGTGCGCGCCACGTAGAGTCGACTCCCATCGTAGACGGGGCAAGGCCGCCGAAACGAGGCTGGTAGGACAAAAAGGCCTCGATCAACTTCTGGCCGATGCCCGCGTCGTAGCCCAGCATATACCTGTGGGTCATGAAGTCGACGGTGGCCACATTGAAGTCCTGCACTTTGTCGGTGTCCAGCCTGTAATCGTCGACGTGTGCGACCAGGCTTTGATATGTTTCTCGATGTTGTGTCCAGTTTCGTTCTCCTGCCGAGCTTCGTCCTGGAACCAAAACGTGCTGCATACCTGGCTCCTTTGCCATCCTCGCATGGTGGGGCTCGCACTCCAGCATGCGCACCTGCACGAACGGGTTGCCATCCTCCTCCGAGGTCGTGCCGCCCGAATCCTCCAGACGGCTGGCCTTCTCCTCGGCCTCGTCCGACAGTACTGGCGGGGAGGGGCGGTCGCGACCCCGTTGTAGAGTAGCTCGCCACCTCTTTCCTGGTGGCCAAGGGTCCGTCTGCCAACGAGGCGCCCGAACTTCCCTCTCGTCCGTCATCGCTGCTCTCCTCGCCTTCCTCACCAAGGACATGACGAGCCCAATACAATACAGAAGTAGAGCATTGTGGAACTTCATTTCTGGCCGAAACGGCTACGGAGCCCTGCTGGTCTCGAGCGAGACGACATATCTCAGGCGTGACGCTCAACTCGACTGCATCCCCTCGCCGCAGACCAGGGTCCCTCGAAGGCTTGTCGGAGCTGTTGAACTCACTCGGGACCCACCTGAATCCCACGAAAAGGTTACGGGACAACGACAGCGCCGACGCCCGCCGAACCTGGACCAGAAGAGGAAAAGCACGGGCCCTGGATCTCGCAAAGCTGAGCGCGACTCCGAGGTTATCCCCAAGAGCCAGAAGGCGACAACTATGAACTCCAGGTTCCAGAGCGACGTTAGCGATCCCAAGGACTCCAGCTCTGGCTTCTCCTTCATGTACTGTCATCTTTCTTTTCCAGGAATGACAGAAAAGCACCTTCCAATCTTTCCCCACAAGCCCCTCGAGCGGTACCTCGGAAAATTACCCTGGCGACGTACCCAACCCCTGCGCAAAAGCGGGGCGCAAATAGTTTAGGATACTTTATAAGGGGGCGATGACGGAGCGAGGGTTGCATATGTCTGCAGACGGAATTCGGGAGACTCGCAGGACACTGGCTACAGGAAGAGGGCTTGATAAAGCTGATGAGTTACAATTCCTGGGCACTCCTAGCCACTTCGAAAATGGTGATCACAGCAGGCCTCGAAAGTGGCGACAGTTTCACAGATCGCAGCCCCGCAGGGATGGCGAGGTCTAATTTGGGTCCGCGCGTGGCGTCACTGTGCCGGGCCCCCCAGCAGGCCTCGAAAGTGGCGACAGTTTCACAGATCGCAGCCTCCAGGGGATGGCGAGGTCTCATTTGAATCTGCCCGTGGCGTCACTGCGCCGGGCCCCTCAGCAGGCCTCGAAAGTGGCGACAGTTTCACAGATCGCAGCCCCCAAGGGATGGCGAGGTCTCGTTTGAATATGCCCGTGGCGTAACTGTGCAGGGCCCCCCAGCAGGCCTCGAAAGTGGCGACAGTTTCACAGATCGCAGCCCCCCCAGAGATGGCGAGGCCTAATTTGAATCCGCGCGTGGCCCTCACTGTGCTGGGCCCCCCAGTAGGCCTCGAAAATGGCGACAGTTTCACAGATCACAGCCCCCCAGGGATGGCGAGGTTTCAGAGGAATCTGCCCGTGGCGTCACTGTGCTGGGCCCCCCAGCAGGCCTCGAAAGTGGCGACAGTTTCACAGATCGCACCCCCCCAGGGATGGCGAGGTCTCATTTGAATCTGCCCGTGGCCCTCACTGTGCTGGGCCCCCCAGCAGGCCTCGAAAATGGCGACAGTTTCACAGATCGCAGCCCCCCCAGGGATGGCGAGGTCTAATTTGAATCTGCCGTGGCGTCACTGTGCTGGGCCCCCCAGCAGGCCTCGAAAATGGCGACAGTTTCACAGATCGCAGCCCCCCAGGGATGGCGAGGTCTAATTTGAATCTGCCTGTGGCCCTCACTGTGCTGGGCCCCCCAGCAGGCCTCGAAAATGGCGACAGTTTCACAGATCGCAGCCCCCCAGGGATGGCGAGGTCTAATTTGAATCTGCCCGTGGCCCTCGCTGTGCTGGGCCCCCCAGCAGGCCTCGAAAATGGCGACAGTTTCACAGATCGCAGCCCCCCAGGGATGGCGAGGTCTAATTTGAATCTGCCCGTGGCCCTCACTGTGCTGGGCCCCCCAGCAGGCCTCGAAAATGGCGACAGTTTCACAGAGCGCAGCCCCCCAGGGATGGCGAGGTCTAATTTGAATCCGCGCGTCGCCCTCACTGTGCTGGGCCCCCCAGCAGGCCTCGAAAATGGCGACAGTTTCACAGATCGCAGCCCCCCAGGGATGGCGAGGTCTAATTTGAATCTGCGCGTGGCCCTCACTGTGCTGGGCCCCCCAGCAGGCCTCGAAAATGGCGACAGTTTCACAGATCGCAGCCCCCCAGGGATGGCGAGGTCTAATTTGAATCGCCCGTGGCCCTCACTGTGCTGGGCCCCCCAGCAGGCCTCGAAAGTGGCGACAGTTTCACAGATCGCAGCCCCCCAGGGATGGCGAGGTCTAATTTGAATCTGCCCGTGGCCCTCACTGTGCTGGGCCCCCCAGCAGGCCTCGAAAATGGCGACAGTTTCACAGATCGCAGCCCCCCAGGGATGGCGAGGTCTAATTTGAAGGCCCTCACTGTGCTGGGCCCCCCAGCAGGCCTCGAAAATGGCGACAGTTTCACAGATCGCAGCCCCCCAGGGATGGCGAGGTCTAATTTGAATCTGCCCGTGGCCCTCACTGTGCTGGGCCCCCCAGCAGGCCTCGAAAATGGCGACAGTTTCACAGATCGCAGCCCCCCAGGGATGGCGAGGTCTAATTTGAATCTGCCCGTGGCCCTCTGTGCTGGGCCCCCCAGCAGGCCTCGAAAATGGCGACAGTTTCACAGATCGCAGCCCCCCAGGGATGGCGAGGTCTAATTTGAATTTGCCCGTGGCCCTCACTGTGCTGGGCCCCCCAGCAGGCCTCGAAAATGGCAACAGTTTCGCAGATCGCAGCCCCCCCCAGGGATGGCGAGGTCTAATTTGAATCTGCCCGTGGCCCTCACTGTGCTGGGCCCCCCAGCAGGCCTCGAAAATGGCGACAGTTTCACAGATCGCAGCCCCCCGCAGGCAAGACAGGAGGAGGCAGGCAGGAGGAGGGAGGGAGGCGGGAGGAGACGCGACCACACTGCTCTATTCAAAACGAATACCCAACCAAGGAGGGTTGGGAAAAAACGAAAAGTCTTGCTCCCAGAGCTCCGAGACGCCCTCGAGAGACGGCGGTGGCGTCACGAACACAAGCGGGTCATCAGGGTCGAAGCAAGAAAGCGCGTGCCCACGAGCCTGCGCAGCGTCACGACGAACAAATCTAGCTCTCTCTTGGACTCTCCCCTGAGCGGCAGTCCAGGCAGGAGACCTAGTAGCGACGCAAGCCCCCGCACCCTCGGGACAGGAATCATACGTTAACACATTCCCAAGCCAGCCCCGGGACCAGTCCGAGCGGATAAGGGGCATGAGGTAGAGGAACGCCTCGAGCTCTTCACGCGCAGTCGCCCACAATGGGGCCCAAGAGTGACGGTACCTCCGAGCGAACTTGTAGACAGAGGCGAAGCAGGAAAGTAGAGGGCGCTGTAGCATAGCGAGGTAGGTACAATGTCCCAGAAGAACCTCGAGGGCTTTTCCAGTTACCTTGGGCGCCTCCAAAAACGCCTCCAGCGCCAAACGAATCTTCCAGTATCGCTTTCCCGAAGGCCTGAAACACTTTAGCTTTCCGTCGAACTCGATCCCAAGAGCATCCCTAACCTGCCCAGCCTCCTGAACTTCATGGCACTGCATCTTGTTAGCGTTAAGAACGTTTCTGATGTTATCCAGGGACTTCTGGACCTCTTTCCCGTCAGCTCCCAAGACCCCCACGTTGTCCACATGCACGTAAAAGACGGGCGCGGAGTTCTTACCCATGACGAGGCCGCCCCCCCTGTCCTCCACCGCCACGGAGCTTTCCATCCCAGATGCCTCCCTTACCAGGCGGGTATTGATACGCTGGGCCCAGCAGACTGACCAAGAGAAGCCCATGGGGAGCACGGCCATGGCGGCCCACACAAGCCCGTCTCCAGGAATCTCCCGTCCCCGAACATGTGCTAGCCCCAGCTCTCGCGCTCGAACGGGGGGCAGGCAAAAGTAATCGCCCAAGTCGCTGTCTATACCTATCCTGTGAAAGCAGTTGTCCACGTCGAGAGAGGCCTCATACAGCTAAACGCCTTCTTCTACCTCCAAGCGGGCGAAACTCTCGGGCGTGGCCAACAAAGTACTAGGAGGATCTCGGAAGAGCTGATTCGTGCGCCTCGCATCGATGATAAGTCGCTGTCTCCCACCCTTTTTCCGAACGAAAAACGGGGTGGCAATCTCTTTGGGCGTAGTCGACCACCTAATCAGACCACGCCTGTGCAACATCTTTAAAAAGCGAACGTACTCGTGCCGTCGAGTGCGAAGCTTCTGATCAAAATACGGGTTAATACACTCGCCGTAGTCTCTCATCTGCATCGCTTCCTTCACATCTCTCATCATGCTCTCCTCGAAGTTCACCACCGCCTCCCTGTCCTCCTGGGAGACCAAGTCCGGAAGTAGTTTTCTGTCCTGGACCCCCTCGGGCAGCGAGACGAGGGTTCGATCGAACTCGACGACAGTGGAGGCTGCGTGGTCGTAACCACACCTGCTCTGGAGGAGCTCGCGCGCGGCCCCCTCCTTGCTCAAAAAAGGCGGCGCAAGCGGCTGTTGGGCAACCCGACCCGCACCAAAATCGCGCATCTCACTCACCACTTCTTGGCGAACGAGTGGGCTCGAAGCTCGGGAATGCAACCAGTTGAGGCCCGTCAGGACCTCCCCGAACTCGCGCGATTGATGGCTCCTGAGGTTGACCCTCCGCCTGCACCCCCTCGAGAGACGCGTCGGCGAAGGAGACGAGAGGTTACAAAACTCGAGCGGAAACAGTGGCACCCGTCGTGCCCCCTGCGCATCACTCTCGCCTGTCAACGCGCCTACCGCGCGGCGACTGCGGCAAACACTATCTCTGCTCTTGCTGGCAAGGGTGGAGGCGTCACTCATCCTTGACCTCCTCATTGTCCTTGCCCTTCCCCGCGGTCATACCGCGCTCGATGGCGACCTCCGCCTCGTCCTTCGAAGCCTCGGCCTTGCTGCTGTGCCTGTCGATCTCCGCCCACTCTCGTACCAACTTGGCCACGTAGGTGTAGAGCACGGGCGCCGCAAGCTGACGTAGGCGATAGTAGCGCAAGAACTTGTCGGCCATCTCGTAGATCGGGATAATTGGGTCCTTACCATGAGCCTATGGCACAGTCTGTCCTCTCCGCCCCGAACTCACGGAGGCAGCGAGCGAAACGGCGTTCCACCGATCGTCCGAGGCGGCTAGTGCGGACACCTCCACCATCTCCCGAACCTCTTGAAAATAGCGATCGTTCTCACACCAATCCGCCGTCAGGTGATGGCGAGTGAACCAGAACGTGGGCACCATGCCCAGCGGGACCCGCGATGCCATCAACCATAGGAGAGCACGAA